AAGACTGCTTTTCTGTTTCAATTTATTTAAAACACGCATTTTTTTTTCTTTTTAATTATTATTACTGATTACAGAAGAGGAACAGTACTGGTTCCGTTTTCTTTAGAAAGGAAAACAAAATTGATTTTGGGTTCTACATCAAGGCAATGCGGGAGGACCTCGGATTTTTACGAAATTGATGCGTCCAGAGTTAAAAAAAAAATAGAATTTCTGGATTTTGTTCTAGACTTGTCAAAAGAAGGAAAAGATAAAGAAATTTGCTTTATGGATTTTGAGAAGCAATGAAATTTCAATTACGAAAATAGCTGGTCATTGCGAATATGGGTGCAAGCTTTCATAGAGTTCCATTTGCAGCAATTGGATACAAGAAACTATATATATATATATATATATATATATATATATATATATATATATATATATATATATATTAAGAACAGATGTCTGGGTAAAGCAAATCAGGATTTTGAAGAAGTGATGATATTGAATAAAAGGGATTATCGGAAACAATGGTGGATAGATAATGTAGACTTGAAAGTCAGAAATATCCATATGATTAAAGAACTTTAGCATTAAGATGATTTGTATATCAGTCTACTAGAACTGAAAGTTAGATGTGATAATCGGGTGACTGTTATCTGGATAAATAAGTGTAATTCAAACAATCTTAATCTTTAGATATTTAAGAGAAGATATTTGCTTTTGCACTTGATAGATATATTTTGATTTCGACATGCCACATTCCTGGTAAGCATAACATTGCAGATAGATTATCCAGGATTAAATACGAAGGTAAAGGACAATCAGTTCAGAAATAAACCATCTCTTACCGAAGCTTGTGGCATATAAACCTTGCAGACAAGCATTTGTTTGCAATGCTTTTGCTTTCGATTGGCAGAGTCCAACAGAAAGTTCAATAGGATGAGGCAGATGCTCTTCCAATTGCGCCAATGTAGCCCTCGCGACCGTTCTTCAACAAACTTTTTTTTAATGCTAATAGGACAATCCAGGAAACTGCCACACAATGCAGTATGTCACCCGAGGGACAAAGATCATTTACATCCAATGCGGAAAACGTTAACTAGTAGTATGGCCTATTTCAGGCAAAGTTATCAAAACGTTGGCATTCCTAAATATATTGCCGAGTTCATGTCCAGTTGTAGGAGATTAGGAACCAGAAAGCAGTATTCCCATATCCACAGAGAATGGACTTTTGTTTTTGTCTGTCAAAATTAATTAATCCCAATTTCCCATCCTTAGATTTATTGGACAAAGAGGCCAAACTATTCACCAATTTAACTTGGACAGTGTCTTTTATAAAAATGATAAGGTTAATTTTTTATAATACAGAGTTGCTCAAAACTTCAAGATTAGGAAATCACTTGACTTGTATTGTTTTTAAGAAATATGAATTGTTTATATCTAATAAAACACAAGTTGGTCAGTCGACCTATGTTATCTCGATGGACTTTGGAAATTCTTTAAAAATCAGGAATAAATGTCTAAAAATGCCTTGAGGCATACCTCAACTAATTTACCACAGCATAGACCCTGATGATAAGGTTATGAAATGTGTTGGTTGTACATGAGCATCGACTTTTGCCACGTTCTATAAGAAACCCATTGTTTAATATGTCGATGTGTTCATCTTTGCAGAACGTGGAACGTGGAATATAGTGCATTTGTAAGTAAAATTTGTTGCATTTTTCTTCTGGTATGTTTCCATTGACCTGACCGCTCTGATTCCTTAAACGAACCGTGACACATGTATAGATTATAAAGATTACAATAGATCTGATTTGAGTATATCTTTTCTTCTTTTTTAATACATACGACATAACACCCTGATATTACAACAATAACCTCTCCAGTCGAAACTCGAACCATCGTCATTGCAGGCACTCTAACAAATGAAGTACACGACCCACTTAAAGGTATTTAATCGTATCAATGCAGTAGTGTATTATTCCATCTTTCGTAAATTACAATTCCGATTTCAGATTTGAACTACCGAGTGCCCACTGGGTGTGTGTGTAAAACTTCGCTATTGTAAAGGAATCAAGGATTCCTTGTCTGATATTATATATATAGAATTAAGATCAAGAATTTATTTGATTTAATGTATTAACAAGAGAATAATTATTTAATTTCATTTAGTTTGTAACGTTGGCTACAGTGACGTTAGAGTTGTACGAACGCCCTACAAAAACGCATTGTTGTGAATCCGCGGAGCCCCGCTAGAGAGCCACGTGAGACGCCTTGTGCTGCTTACTTTTAAATTATTCTTGTTTTATGAAGATTTGGGCTACCCACACTGTAAGTCAACTATTTATACTGTTAATAATGTATTTTTCAGATGTTAGAGCATATGTTAATAACAAAGTTGTGTCTTTTACGTGATATGTAACTTGAAATTATGTGATATAAGTAAGTGCCATTCCTATTGTACTCACATTTTTACCAAGCTTTATTTCAGTTATTTACCAAAGAATAATGTTTTGTTTCCTTTTCATTTAATGAAAGTATCTAGTCTTTAGTTATTGATCTTTTATAAAGTGCCTTAATTAACTCAGGAAATGTCATAAAATACTATAAGGAATAAGAAGTCATTTGTTTGTTTAATGTTTACAGATATGCTAGTCGTGCAGTATTTTTATAATTTTTTATTGATTTATTCTTAATATTTCTATCTCATATTGTATTAATAATATTTTATATTTGAATGATTCATTTACTTTATTTGTGTACAACTTATTATTTCCAAAACTGAAGATTTATTTTCTTACACTTTTCACCTCACAATCACGTGCACGCTCACGTGTATGTGTATATTGTCATCTTGCAAGTTGGATACACTGCTCATACCTACCAGCTTGTGAACATGACAATAAAGGTTTAACTGACTGCTAGTGTTTTACTGGAGGCAGTACAGCTATCCTATCACATATGAGGAAATGGGTAATGTCTCTGAAAGTTAGATACCTCCTAGTTACACACTCCTTTTAGTGGGTCGTGTAACTCATTTAGTAGAACGTCTGTCTTGTAGTTACCTGCCTGCAATGAAGAGGGTTTTCGAGTCCCGATCAGACAGGTTATTTATTTATTATATCAATGTGGTAGTGTATTATTCCATCTTTCAACTTTGAATATCCAAACTATAGGCGGACATGTGGCCCTGTGACTCCATCCTGACTTACCAGCCAAATTGTATAAGATTTCAACCCTCAGACAATGGTATTTAAAGACGTATAAGACAAGGCTATCATTCTCAGAGAATAAGTTGGCACAGATACTGAATAAATGTAAGAAAGGTATATTAGATATTTAATAGTAAAAGCAGCATTGATAACCATAGGCAATATATATTACTAATAAATATAGCTTGGCTACACATTAACTACAATTCTCCCACCCTCCCTCTCTTCTTCACACTGACCCAACGCCTTTTTGAACGATTTCACTTTCTTCTACCAGCTTTCGCCTCCCCCCCCCCTATTCCCTCTACCCCCACTCCCTAATCAGTAATAAAACCAAATACTTTCAAATATCACTACCAGAGCAATGATTGGAGGAAGCGGACCAAAAAGTCAGTACCAGTGAAATGCGATTTCATAACCAAAGTAATATAACAATTAAGAGGCTAAATTGAAAATATTCCTTTATCCCGAAGTCAATGGAACATATTTCATTCGGAAAAGATATGGTGTATCTATCACACATCTCCATTCTAGGTGATTTTTTTTTCTTTTCTTTTCTTTTTATTGCAATTATGCTAATAAATTGTTGCACTTAATATGGAGGAAGTAAGAACCGGAAAGAAGATGGTGGTGAAGAGGGTCTAGATGCATGTCACTAAATTATGGTAAGTGCAACAACGTTGCATCATTGCTCCTAGCGAATGAAGTATAGTATCAAGAGATAAATAACACTGAGGATTTTAACTAGCCGATTGTATGATAGAAATACAAATATTAATTATGCTCTTGCATCTGCTAACAAAATATTGTGATGGAAATACAAATATTGATCATACTCTTGCAACTGTTGAAAATAATGCTGCAGCCTTTTTCAAATGTAAGCATGCTGTTCCAAACTGACAAAGGCTATTATTCTACATCGTAATTACGAAAACCTATGTAACTACACACTGAAACCCTGACAGCATAGCAGACGACTTATGACCTGAAAAGGAACTGAAGCTTAAATAGCCTAAGGTGAAACCGTACCATATCAGAAATTACGAAGAGCAGTAGTATCTTCATTGGCGGAACTCAGTCTGCTCTCAACCTGCATCGGTGCTTGTGCATTATCTTTATTTTTATTATTATTATTAACAGGAAATTATCATTAACAGGAAATGACAAGCTCAAAGAAATTAAAGGCGACCCATAAACCTAGATCAAAGGGGCGAGAACAGAGGGAATAAAGAATGTCTTAAAGAAACCATAAAATATGTAAGTCAGCTAAAATCACATATCTATTGAAGTATAAATAATGTGCAGACATACTATGGAGACCCACAAAGGAAACTTGTCCAAGACACTGGAATAGCAACAGAAAGAGTAAACCTAAGTCCCAGAATGGTTTAGGTTGTAGTTGTAGTGGACAATGGTGGTTTCCGTACATCTTTCTCCTTATGTAAAAATGTTACTGGGACGATAGTGCTTTTGCCCAAGCCATTTTCCATTCTGTTAATTTTATTCAATACATACTTTCATTGGTAGTTTGCAATGAATCAAGTTTATCACCATCGAATCTATGAAGTAAAATCAGCAATCCTTATTAATGTACAGCACCAAAGATTACTTATTCATAAAAATATGTTTTACGTCATTAGAAATATTACCCTCAATTCTATTTTTTGCACATTTTGGGTAGTTTATCCAGTTTCTTCAAAATAACATTGCAAATTAGTGTAACTACTATGGAGCATAATATAGATAAAATGTTCATGGTGTACCTTTGCGACCTTTGTTTCTTTCTTTCTTTCTTTCTTTTCCTTTTTTTTTCTTTTTCTTTTTTTCTTTTTTTCTTTTTTTAATAAGGATTGGCCAGCAACATTTCCCATGTTGATCTTTTGGCGAAAGTAGTTTTCCGTAACCAGTATACCACAAGTTAACAATAATGGCTATCTGAATAAGTATATTAACAAAGATTAGATCCTTTTGTGTGATTAGGCAAGAAAAGTTTGGCATAACCTCAATATATTGTTTCGTAGACGCCGTGGAACCATATCCATCACACCTTTCCAGATTATGTGATATTGTGGCTTAATTATGGCAGTGGTGCCTGCAGATAGAAAAGAGCTTCTGTCAGTTTCAAAACATTTATATGCATATAATTTATGGAGTGGCATATGTTGGTTTACACAATACTCGATGTCCCATTATAACCTGTAATGTTTCAATTCAATCCTGTAAAAAAAACTTTGCAATACTTTACCTGCCTTAATTAATTCACAGAGAACAGTTTTGGAGGACATTGCTAAGTCTCTTTGCACCATATCCTAAGGTATATCGGGCCTCAGATGTTATTTTTCTTTCTTGGGCGACTCTGCCATATCCCTTTATCACGCAGATTTCGCCTATTCACCTCTTCCTGACACATGATGTTGAAGACGACATATAAGTCCTTCACTGACAGTCGGTCAGAGAGCAGGAACGGAATCTGAACAGGTGAACAAAACACTCAAAATTAAGACCATAACTTACGCTAAATATGTCTCATTATCTGCCACGATTTTTAGATTTTCATGTTTCTAAGTACTTACCTGTTTCATCTCATTTCACAGCTCTAACGGAAAGCGTCTTCGGCCTTGTAGGTTTATTTATCGCTTTCTCTCTCTTTCTTTTTTTCTCTTCTCTCTCTCTCTTTTTTTTTTTTTTTTTTTTTTTTTTTTTTTTTTTTTTTTTTTCTTTTCTTTGACGCCGTGGTGCAGCGATAACGCACACAGCTGGGGGTCAGAGGTCGCTAAGCCTATGAGGTCGAAACCAGGCCACGGTCCGAGATTAGGAAGGGCATCCACTTGAGATGAAAGTTGGTGATGACAGATGATCACTTCTTAGTCCTTGCAAGCGAGTCCATGTAATTTCTTATGTCTTCTTGGTCATGCTGGGATCCATTGGCTTCAAGTCGTGGTTCCAAGGTTCTGTTTTTTGTTTTAATTATGCCTTTTTTTCTTTTTCTTTTTCTTCTTTTTTCGTATTCTTTTCATTTTTTCTTCGTTATCTTTTTTTCTTTTTTTTCTCCTTTTTCTTTTATTGTATTCTTTTATTCGTTTTTTCCTTTTTTTCGGATTCTTTTTTCTTTCTTTCTTTTTTCATATTCTTTTTTTTTCTTTTTTTCTTTCTTTCCCTTTTTTTCTTTTCTTCCATACACAAAAAGGATTTTCCGCTATAAATCACATATGATGGTGGTAATACTGGACAAGTGCTGATATACATTGAACATGAATGTGATTTTAAAGGTTAGAAGGGGCACCAAATTGTTAAAATGTTACTGGCCAACCTTATATATATCTTTCTGAAGAAAAAAAAAACAGATCCCTTGGCATATTGAACATTTTCTATTATCGTATTTTTCTCTCTTTTCTTTATTAAATGAAGATATCTATGTGTGTGCTTATGAACTGGATAAATTACCCAAGGCAGGACAATTTTCTTTATAGTAATTATAGTGAATATGCTGTGTACAATCAGGTCATTATCAAGACGCCTAAAATCCACTAGAGACAGCTGATCTCAAGCCAAAACGCTGTATGGTGGCAATCAGACAAATTCACTATGGCGTAAAGTTTTGAATTGAATTCTAATTTGTTATAAAGAAGAATTAATAATGCCACAGAGGATAGTTATATTTAGGTGATAGATGGTTTATGTGGAAAATGGTCATTTAGGGCACCTTCTCTTCTCGTGTTTCCATTTTTTAGAAATAACCATCATAAGGAGTTGGTCTCTTATTGAAGGAAAACGAAACCACGATTGCCCGGTGTTTTGGACTGTGATTTACCCTTTCTTGTCACTCTTACTAGAGAAATGTACAGAAAATTACGTGGTCATTTTAATACTATTCTTTAACTTTGTGTTGTGCTATCAATGACAGCCTAATAGATTCAATTAAACAACAAAATATTAAAGAAAGAAACACTCTTGTATCTCAGTAAATTGTCTTAGCCCGATAGTGATATATGAATTGCATTCTACAGCCTTTGTGCAGATGGAAACAGCCTCTGCATAAATCCCTTTTAAACTGATCTTTCGGCTTGCTCAGCCACTCGACTGCGCTGCCCGAGAGAGCTTCCACCGTTGCCAGATACTATTGTCTTCTTGGAAAGCAGACTAACGAGCTTGGAAACACCTGTGATAGTCTTGTTCACTATACCCTGGCCTGACTCTTCCCCATGAGCCACATCATGACATGTGCTTTAGTTCCTGTACTAACCCACCTTTCTGTTTATCATTGGACCTTTAGTTCCTTCCTTATCTACCTCATGTGCCCTTTTTCACTTTACCTCGGTCTTGACACTTCCTCCATTTTTGCATTAGATTCTCACTTCCTCGGTCTTTTCTACTTTTTCCCTTCATCTTCTGCATTTTATTTGATTCATTCCCCCTCTCCTGCATACATATTTGACCTCTTCCCTTTCTCCTGCATTCATGTTTAACCCCTTCCTCACTACCACCTCCTCTCCTATTCATTTTTAACCTTCTTCCGTTCTTGCACTCAAATTTGACATTTTCTTCTCCTGTATTTGATCCCTACCTCCTCTCCCATAAACGTCTTTGACCACTTCCTCGTCTGCTCCTGCCTTTCATGAAGAGTTCGGCCCTTTCATAATTAATTAAGTTCAAGTGCAAAGCTCCTGTGTTCAAATATGATCCCTTTCTCTTCCTTGTATCCACATTTGTCTTCTCCAGCGAAATTTCATTTGATTCCCTTCATTTCTGACTTTTTCTGTATTCTTACATTCCCCATTGCCGATTTCCCATTTAACCCTGCGTTCACATTTGACCCCCTCTTCAACTGTTTTCTCATTTAATGATTCCTCCTCTCTTGCTGTCACGGTTGTCTCTTTCCTCTCTAACCCCTTCCTTTCTTGCATTTTGTATTTGGTCCCTTTCTCTTTATCCTGCGTATTTGAACCTTTCTCCTCACTTACATTTATTTCAAGCACTGACCCCCCTCGTTCTCTCGCGATATCTAACCTCTTCTTTCCTGAGTTCACATTTGATAGCTGTTTATGTTTACAACAAACAGCTACAAGTCATCGCCATCCCCCATTAGTTCTTAAAATACTATAATAAAAATATTGAATCTATTTGTAACTTATGGGCCTGTCTGATACGGCTGGAAGATTATTAAAAATATAAAAATGCCATAAAATGTACAAAAGCTACCAGTTCTAATATTCTAAATAGCAACTGTACATTTTTAACAGTTTTACCTATTAGTGATGTATATTTTCTATTGCTGCCATTGCTATTGTTTACAGTATGGGGATTGAAACTTATACGATGTTGTAAATCTACTGTCATGGATATACCTTTGTCCATTTTGTTTATTTTTTATTTAAGTCTGTCCTTTAATTCATTTTCTTCATTTACTTTCCTTCGCTCCAAGTAAACACTAATAATTACCACGTTTTTAGTAATAATTTGATGCCTATTTTTGTCGAATGTTATATTAAAATATATAAGATGATTGAAATTAGTAAAGAGAGTTGATGTTCAGATTTTAGTCATTGAAAAGAAATCAACTTTCGTGGATCTGTGGAAAAGGGCTTTGTAGTTGCCCGGCATCGTGGGAGGAAGGCGGTTGTGTGCAATTCCCTTTGGTTTAAAAGCCGGAAATTCAGGTCATGGAGCCTTGTTTGCTTTTAAGTAAGTTCCAGTAAGATTGCTCAGATACTTAAGATGGTTTACATATATAATTAAAGGTTGGTCAAACTGTTTTAGTAAATATAAATGATATAAATGGAAATCCTTGCAACAGGTTGTTGTGGTTCAGTGTTGACGTCGGTAAGCTAGGAACTACGAATATTTGAGTCATATTCTGATATAATTTCTGCATATGTTCTATTTACAATGAAAGAATGTCTCAGTGTTTTCACATAATATTCACCTTAACAGGGTGATATTACAATCCTTCACATTTAATTATATTTTTTTCTACTTTATTGGTGGTGGATGCTATCCTAATTTCCTGTTTTGTTAAGTATATATTCTTTGATGAATGATCAACTTGTTCTTTAATTATTCTCTCATTGACCTCATGAACTACTTCATTTTCTAATCAATGTTGAAGAATAATTTGGTTGCACTACCCCATCTGGGTTTTGAATACATATGATAATAAGAAATACCCTAGATTATAGTCCTGGATGGAAGTGTCACACTACTTTTAAGATTTATATTATCTCTCATTCTTGTTTTAAAATATGCATGTAATTCTATTTGCCGTCAAGATATCTTACTATACATACATGTTCACTATTCCACCTTATCAATATTTGTGTTGATATATCACTATTGTGTCGTCTCTTCTCTATTGCAAGAGCTCTCTTCACCTTTCATTATCAAATGTCAAACAGTATGCATTGCGTCATAAATAGTATGCATTGGCTACGTCCTTCTGTAGCAATACGGAGAAAAATACCGATCATATGATTACGTTTTTTACGAATTCGGGGTTGAGGGGGGGGGGTCAACGGAGCGTATGTCCAGCCAGTTGTAAGTGTGAGCATTGAACTCTCGCGCCCTTGAAAATCACTCACATGGGGCACGACCTAGAATGGCTCTGATTAGCTTCGAATTACACGATGGAGAATTAAACCACCTTCGTCCTTTTCCAGATCAAGTGGTTAAACAGATTTACGTTCCACACCTTTTATGTAACCAGGCATTATACATGGCTCATCAACCTCTAATGGTAGCTGTATAAGCAATAAAGACGACCCTAGAAACTCGCGAAGCCAATACGGCCTTTTCGGGTCGTGAAGAAGATTGGTCCTGTTATCTATGACGTATCGGAGCTGCAGCAACCTCATAGTGTTATGCGTGCCCATGCAAATCAGCTTAGGCCGTTTGTTCCCGCATCAGAGATAGACTTTGTAGAGGAGGGTGACCAGTTACCATATCCACTTGTGAACTTAGAGCGATCGAGTGAAACACTTACAGACAGTGAGAATGGGAAAGGTGATGGTGATGAACTTGATATACATTTGTATTACTCCTGCTGTGCGAGAGGTGCGTGTGCATGCGTAATTGTTTATGAAAGTCTAAGTTCATGGTCGTGAAAGTGAGTATATTCCGAAGTTCTTAAATTGATATTATACGAGCATTTATATTTCTTTTATATGAGTACTTTATATCTTGTTTCTCTGCGTGTGTCTTATCTTGCTCACTTCATTTTAAACTCTTACCTCATTTTAGTCTTGTTCATTCAATTTGTTCTTTTAACATAGAAAAATCAATTTGTAAATCGCTCAGGTGGCACAAGTTAAAGTTTTGGCAGTTCTTTCATGCTTGTTTCACCCAGCTCAAAATATGTGAATGTATGCTTATCTGTTGATTTCTATAACAGAACTATGTAATGGCACAACGCTCACAAACCTGAATTAGGCTATTCTCTGTGATTTGTGACACTGATTGCTTGAATCGTTCTGCCTAGCTTGGCGATTCCAGCCCCATGGAGGAATTGTAGTGTACCCTGAGGTCCAGCTGGCTCTGAATTTATATATACAGGAAAAAACTACTTACATGGATATATACGAATACCTCCTGAAATTACCAACTTCCATTCTCTATTAAAAAGTGCAATTCATTTTCTTTTTATATTTAGGGGTGACTTATTTTCTCGCAGTTTTATGTTTCT